CATTAGTTATTTTAAAAAAATAATAATTATATATATTTATTTATTTTTTCATTATATTTATATTTTTTTTCTTTCCGTCCTGTGAGACTAAAAAAATTTTTTTATAAAGCCCATTTATGGGTTGGGCCGGGCCTATAATGGAGAGGCCAGGTAATGAGGAATGGCCAACTCTCAAAAAATTCACGGAGTTTATCGATCAGGGATCCGAATTCTTTGCCGGGTCCCTCAGCTGACACCTTAATTTGCCCAAATATCATTAAACAATTAATAGAAATTTAAATTATTATCTGATTGAATTTAAAAAAAATTACAGGAATTTATCACGGGCGGCCGATTCCGTCCCCATTCCTCATCATCCGGTGGTGAAATGTTTAGGTTAACAATTGAATGCACAGAGATAATTCTGATTATTATCTCTGTACGAAATTGTAAATTGTGTACAGTAGAAGAATAAAGAATTTTTAAAATGTGTTAGATTGGTCACTCGGTGTAATAAACTCTTACGTAAGTTAAGAAAGTACCGTTCGGAAATGAAAAACTCCAGTTGTGATGTGGAAAATTAAATGGTTATAGACTTTTCACAGGCTTTTACAATCTTTCCAATTGATATTTTGGAGTAAGATTGTACGACATTATCTAAGTTTAAAGTAATTCAACGTAAATGCCGAGTTTCCTAATAATTGGACGAACGGTCTAAGTGTGTATAGCGAACAAACAAACAAACATCCTCATTTATATATATATAGATAAACGTGTAAAAGAAGCACTGGTAGATTATTCATCTGTTGATCTATTGAACAGAAACCTATAAAAAACTTAGGCGCCGAAGATGACTTTAGAAGCGATCTGCCCGGACAAGAAGGTCAGATCGCTCCTATTACCTTACCGCCAGATCACTCCCATTGTGAGCCTGGAAGAATCCACGATGGATATGATAAGAAAAAAGGTCTCTTAATGCCCACAGGAAGGAAAAAATAAAAATAAAATGACAATTTTTTTTTTTTATAAATAAAATTTTAAAGATTTGATTATAGAAAAAAAATCCAATAATAAGTTGCTTAACTTTTCCGGCAATATTAGGTGGCACCATCTATTATGATATTTTATTAAAAATTTGTTTATATTTTTAACTATTATAAAATGACAAAAAGCTTAATTTTGAGAGGAGAAATGGGTTTTATAAAAATTTATAAATGATAATAAAACGTAAAATCGCCTTTAAGTCTGACCTTACTGCAGATACACACGACTCCCTTTATCTCTCCACCCCTTCGACCTGGACGGACGGGATGGCCGAGAGGTCAAGGTGTCAGCCTACCGCTCTGGGGGACACGGGATCGAATTCGGACGGGTGGAAAAATCCCCGGGGATTTTTCGGATATGTCGGCCTCCAGCTGCACCATTGTGCACCTGGCCGAACCCATAATGGGCTTGCTAAATGAGGTCCTCTTAGTGCCCACAGGACGGAAAGAGTTAATTAATCTTTAGTTCGATACAAGTATCTTTTATGAACACGATAAAGTAAAGTCTTTTCGCACTTATAAAACACACTGAATCATAATATGTAATTTATCTTAATTACACGTCAAAGAAACAAGTTTTTCCTCTTTTACATTGTATGAAAACACTCATTACTTAAGTTTTGTAAACAGTAAATAAAGCTTATCAATATCCGTCATTAAAGTTATTTTTATATCTATATTATTACTCATTTTATTTTCCCTCATACTGATATAACGTACATTATATATTACCCTAAGCTTTCAGTTGTCTGTTCGAGATTAAGTTGAGAATTACACTTACAATCCCTACGTAATAGTCGAAGAATTAGAAGAATAATATTTACACACGTAAGTGGTATGTAAAAAAAAATTGTATAAGTACATAAGGGCAACAATAAGAGTCACGTGCTGCTCGCTTGCTACAGTTTGGCCACCTATTATATATATATATATATATATATTTATTTATTTTTTCATTATATTTATATTTTTTTTCTTTCCGTCCTGTGAGACTAAAAAAATTTTTTTATAAAGCCCATTTATGGGTTGGGCCGGGCCTATAATGGAGAGGCCAGGTAATGAGGAATGGCCAACTCTCAAAAAATTCACGGAGTTTATCGATCAGGGATCCGAATTCTTTGCCGGGTCCCTCAGCTGACACCTTAATTTGCCCAAATATCATTAAACAATTAATAGAAATTTAAATTATTATCTGATTGAATTTAAAAAAAATTACAGGAATTTATCACGGGCGGCCGATTCCGTCCCCATTCCTCATCATCCGGTGGTGAAATGTTTAGGTTAACAATTGAATGCACAGAGATAATTCTGATTATTATCTCTGTACGAAATTGTAAATTGTGTACAGTAGAAGAATAAAGAATTTTTAAAATGTGTTAGATTGGTCACTCGGTGTAATAAACTCTTACGTAAGTTAAGAAAGTACCGTTCGGAAATGAAAAACTCCAGTTGTGATGTGGAAAATTAAATGGTTATAGACTTTTCACAGGCTTTTACAATCTTTCCAATTGATATTTTGGAGTAAGATTGTACGACATTATCTAAGTTTAAAGTAATTCAACGTAAATGCCGAGTTTCCTAATAATTGGACGAACGGTCTAAGTGTGTATAGCGAACAAACAAACAAACATCCTCATTTATATATATATAGATAAACGTGTAAAAGAAGCACTGGTAGATTATTCATCTGTTGATCTATTGAACAAAAACATATAAAAAAACTTAGGCGCCGAAGATGACTTTAGAAGCGATCTGCCCGGACAAGAAGGTCAGATCGCTCCTATTACCTTACCGCCAGA